ACACAAGCTACATGGATGAAACCACACAGGATTTTAAAGAGTTTTCTTCTCTGTGGGCTATTGTTTTACTACTATTGTTACTACTACTGTTCCTAATAATAATAGGCTGTAACTTGGTAATAATCATTCTCTAATTCTTTCTGGCACCTCTTCTCTGTAGTTTCTGAAATATAATTGTCAATGACCTATTAAAAAAAGACGTTGCACATGACAAATCTCAAAGCAAAAACTACACACACCACAGAAGATGTGATGGAAAATACATGAGAGATTAGGATTTCCATAGTTTTTGATTTTCTGTCTAAGGTCAACTTTTTTCTTATGCTGCAAATGCTTTTCTATTAGATGCTCCATCACTGAGCATCCTTGAGCCACTCTTTGGCTTTTCCTCCTCCCTGTGCCAGGCCTTGCCATTGCCCCAGGGTATTCCCGAATCCATGGGGCTTGATTCATCAGAGGCTCACATCACTGCCAGCCTCTTCGTCACCCTGGAGCTTTGGCCACTGGTCTTCAACATCACCTCCAGCTACCCTGCATCTGAGATATCTGACTCAGCATCCTTTGATCTTCAAGTTCCATCTATATTTATAATGCTCTCCCTTCTTCTCCACTGCATCCTTTCTTCCTTTGTATGAATACTTTCTCTGAGGTCGTTGACCTGCCCCACTCTCAAGACTGCCTTTGGTTATACTTCCTTTCCCATCAAGCTTGGAATTCACCATGAGCTACTTGAAACACGCTCTTACAGGTCCCCCTAACCTCCCTTGCCTAATAGGCTTCCAAGCCCCTGCCCTGAAAATCTCACTTATGCACATATCCAAATTTGTCTTCTCTACCCCTCAGCTGATGGTGCCATTACAGCCTGATGGCAGTCAGTGTTCACTGGGCAGCCAGCGTCACAGGGAAGGCTGTTATTCTGATGATCCCTTTTTCCTATTTTCCTTGTTGGCTTCTCCATACCTTCATTGCCCTCCCTATACCCCTCATCCAGTCTCTTTAACATTGGTAGGTGAACTTAAAACAAGAGACTCTTCGAATGATCTGTTTCCCCATCACAACACCCCTCCACCCACACACCTTCTCATCCTCTCTCCCATCCTCGGTTCCTTTCCAGCAGTTTCAGAGAAGGGGAGTTCTTCCTCTAGCTCCAAGTTTAACTTTGCTACGCCAGGTGTCCCCCTGTTTCCTGCATCTTCAACCTCTTCCTCCCTACTAGTCTTTTCCTTGCTTAAATTTCCTCCATCTTCAAAACAAACAGGAATCAAGATAACTTGGGTCTGCGTCCTCTCTAAGAATAAACCCCTTTCCCTTCCATTTAGAGCAAAGCTATACTTGCTATTCCTGCTTTCTTATTACTCTTACACTTACTCTTCTTACAATTGTAAGTTTTTTAATTTTCATATTAAAAATGCTTAAAGTTCATCATAAGAATATATCAGGTAATACATAAAACATAAAGAAGAAAATTTAAAGTCTCTAGTAGTGTTATTACCTATTGACTGTTATGTTTTCTGTTTATTTATGTATTACTTTTTTTTTCTACTTCATTCATGAACATTTCACTGTATATTGTCATGAGGTAATTTATTTGTCTGTTTCTGTTGCTTATAACAAAATACATGGAACTGGGTAATTTGCAAGAAAATGAAATTTATTGCTTACAGTTTTGGAGGCTGGGAAGTCCAAAGTCCAGGGAACACATCTGGTGAGGGTCTTCCCTGGCAGTAACCCAGGGGTCTCACATGGCAGAAGATGGTGGATCAGAGAGAGAGAGGGACTGTCATGTGCTCTCCTTTTAAAGCCCTCAGAACCACACCCCTGACCATCCTTATTAATCCGTTCANGCTTACAGTTTTGGAGGCTGGGAAGTCCAAAGTCCAGGGAACACATCTGGTGAGGGTCTTCCCTGGCAGTAACCCAGGGGTCTCACATGGCAGAAGATGGTGGATCAGAGAGAGAGAGGGACTGTCATGTGCTCTCCTTTTAAAGCCCTCAGAACCACACCCCTGACCATCCTTATTAATCCGTTCACTGTGGCACAGTCCTACAACCTAATCACCTCTTCAAGTCCCCACCTTTCAACTACCATAACAGGTCACAGTGGGGGTCAAGCTTCTAACACATAAAATTTGGGGAACACAATTCAAGCTTAAATGAGTTTGGGGTGGGGGGTCATTCAATCCACAGCAGATGAGGATACTTTTTAAAACCCATAATACCATTATCATACCTAAAAAGAAATTAGCAGAACTTTTTAATATCATCAAAACTTTGCCACTGTGACATTTTGATGCTGATCCTACAGATTTTTTCTATTTATAGGTAAAGAGTGTAAGTATATCTCCAATTTTATTAAAAAATACAATCTTACTATATGCTGTTGTATAACCTGTCTTTTCCCTTTACTATTATCTTATATCTTCCCAGATTCTAATGTAGCTCAATATCATCATTTTAAAAAGCTGTCCGGTAGTCTTTTGTATAAACATATCTTAGCTGATTTAATCAGTAACCTATATAGAGTTTTAGGTTACTCTCTTTTTTATAGATTATAAATGGTGTTGCTGTGAACATCAATGTTTCGTTTTGGTACTTCATTTGGGGGGCGTTTTGGTGCTTATTTGGGGAGCAAGGTTCATCTCATCTCAGAGCCCGTGGGAATTACTTTAAAATGGGAACAATAGAAAGATTTAATTTCATACCTTTTCAAATAATTATTCATTTGTTGAAACCCTTTTAGCAGCTTGATTTCTGCCTGTTCCAATCTCCTGCTCAGTAAAGGGTATCCATTGCTCTGTAAAGGGTATCCATAACTTTTTAATTGACAAATCCAATAAATATTTTTGGTCCTCATCCTTTTTACCTCTCTGTGGGATTTGGCATTCTTAGTCACTCCCTTATTTTTGCAATTTTCTTTTCCTTGGGCTTCTATAAAACCACACCTTCCTGGATTGCCTCTTACATCTGATTTCCTAATCTTAGTTTTCCTTCTGGGATCATCTCCCTCTCTCTGTGCTCAGGTGTTTCCTGGGAGGTTATGTGTGACTCTGTGCTTCTCGGTTACATTTTCTCACTGGGAAACTCAGACCAGTTCGCAGGCAGTTGTGGTGCAGCTGGGGAGGCCCTGAGGGGCACCAGGGCCAGGAGGTGGAGCATCAAGTAGGGGGCTGGGGGACTCAGCCTGGTGCAGGTCAGGAGTGGAGAGCAGTTCTGCACACTGGAGGGCTGGATTTGAGGGCTTTTGGTATGAGACCAGACTGGAGAAGCCAGCAACGGCCACACGTAGAGACACTACGGAGTCTGGATTCTATCTTTCTGTTTGTCCCTTAGATTTTCTAGGTCCTCATGCATACTAAGCAGTATCATTTCATATTTT